TCAAATGGGCTTATCCACGCCACAGGCGAGAAGTACTACACAGGGGTGCCGCGAGCACATCTCCGTGGTAAAAGTGATTCACGGAGACACCGGGACCAAGGCCCGGTTGCTCGAGCGAGGGCAAAGGCGCTCACGTTGGCTTTGGAGAAATACGCGTGTCGGCGTAGCTTGGCCCCGCACTAGGACACCGTACCGCTCTTCGGCCTAGCGTACGCAAAGGGGCAGCAAAAGGTGAGAGTTCGCCTCGGGCGCGAGGCGCCGTCAGCGAAGTCCGACGAGCCCCAAACAACGGGAGTCGACAGACGGAAAAGGGAATGCGTGCTCACCCGCAGCTGTCCCGAAAAAATCTGAGTCGCTCCCGACGCGCGCGCGAAAAACCTCTCGAGAAACCTCGCGCGCAGGGCCACAGTCGACATCCGCTACCGGTTGAGAGGGTGTAAGCAACACTCTTCGCTCTCCCAGCGTGGCAGACAGTGGAGTAGGGGAGTCAGGACGGGAATGAGAACGGCAGAAATAGGCGGCAAAGCCCGGGCAAAGGCAGCGGGCTGGCCTCAATTCCCACAAAGCATAGCAGGAAGCAGGGGGGGGGGGGGGGGGGGGGAGACTGTCGTGTTTTCAGCATTATCAGCAAAATGGCACAGTGAGCGCGCGGCGGCTCTCATCTCTCACGCGTATTTTGGCCCATGTAGAAAATAAGGGGGTGTACGCTTGAGCGCGCACCTTTGTCTATCGTACGTCTTGGCTAGCCTTTTAGCTTCGTCGGAACAATTATGTTGTAGTTACCGGGCGCACAAAGGTCACTGCAGTCGTTGCACAGCCTTCGTTTGCGAAGAGGTCGCGCTTTTCAGACACAGCGAAGTAACAACTGAGACGCTTATTCGCGTTAATCTGTACCTGTGAGTACGTTTCGTGCGTCCTTTGTGCGTGAGAAATGCGGGGCACGTTTAGATCTGCTTGCCATTCTGCGTGTGACCTTCCAATTTCTTCCTATCGCGTTCATTGCTTCGCCTTTGGGTCAAAGCTATGACTTTTTTGTTGTTTTTTTCGTAGGAGCAAGAATCACCGCCAGAATCTTATGGCTGCACTGAAGACAAGTATTTCTCTTGTTACTGCATTGTTTTGGTCCCACTTACGGGGAAAATAAAACAAGACAGAGCAACTGCTGAATTTTCCCGATAGGTAATTTTAATAAGATATCAATTCGTCTGTGGCAGTATTACTTTTTTTCATAACGGTCTGTTTTGTCTTGGTGCTAAATACCTCGATTTGAGAAATATAGAGGCATTCTGGCATTCTTCCTTACTGGAGACCTGTATGGGGGAAAACTGGGCTAATTACCGTCGTTGAATTGTATTGCTCTCCTATCCTGACTCATAATTTTACAACTATATCACGTGCGGATATCTATAAGGTGGTCTCTCTAGATAACTCTCAAGATAACTAAGTGCCCTGGTCATCACATTGAAATAAGGTACGTGAGAAGTAATTTTGCCGGAATACTGTAGAAGGTTTCGATTAGCCGACCTACATTCACTCCCCACGTCTTTCACAGTTAAAGTGCTTGAGTTGTCATCGTCTCCTTTTTCGTCATCTGAATTTCGATTGTTTTGGTAGCACAACGGCAATATGAATGTCGTGTTTATTTACTGTACTCTCGACTGCATCCAAATCAAAGGGTCGTACATGTAGCATAACGGCGTCTTTCTAATGAAAACTAATTATTCGCTGACCTGGGCTTCTGAAAAAAGAAAAAGTGCTAGTTTTTACTGCTCTGCAATACCGCAGTGTTTCATACCAGGTACATCGAACTCTGAACGCGTGTTGCGTACTTTCGGAACAAGCGAAACATTGCGATGTTTGTTTTTACAAGGCCCAACGTTCCCACAAAGACACGTTCACAGAAGACACGTTCACATATGTTGCACTGTTAACCCCAGTTAACAACACGAGACGCGGCTAGTCAAGTGGAAAAGGTCGGCTGTACAGCGCTGTGAATCTAGGTGGCATTCCGGAGAAAGCGACGCGATCACGAAAACGCGCGAAACTTGGACATAACTCGAAAATACCTCTACCTGTGATGAAGTAATATGGAGTTTTAGACTACCGTTTGCAAAACGCTGCGGGCGTTGCGGGCGAAGCGGGCGCGATAAGAGCTTTAGAATAGCGTTTGCCCTGCTGCGAACCGCAACGCACGATCGCAGCGACACTGTAACCTCGAAACCAGCACTTGCGGGCCACATGCGGGCCGCCATCACCACCCGTAGCCTCGAAACCAGCGCATGCGGGCCGCCATCACCGCACGCAATTTCGGATTTTCTGCGTGCGGTCTGCGAACGCGAACGCCGACTCGCGTTACGACGCATGCGCAGTAGCAGCGACCGCACCGCAAGGGCTCGCGGTGCGCTGTTCTAAATCTCCCTAATGGCTGCAGTAACGGATTGGGGTTTAACGTACCAAACCCACTATTTGATTATGAGAGATGCTGTAACTGGGGGCTCCGGAAATTTCGACCATCTGGGATTCTTTAACGTGCGCCTAAATCTATGCATAAGGGTCCAAGCCTTTTCGCTTCCTCCGAAAATGCAGCCGCCGCGGCCCGGACTTGATTACGCGACCTGCGGGTCAGCAGCCGAGTGCCTCAGCCACTAGACCACTGTTGCGGGTACTATTCTGCATCCAAAAACGGCCCGAATAGTCATGGTGTATTCGATAGCGCGACTGAAGTCCAGATTTCGCCGCTGCAAAGGTCCCGACTACGCTTCTCGGCAGTTGCTTATGTTGACAAACATGGCGGTTCTCGGTCCCGTCGTTACCGAATGTAACATACGTGCAAACCATGTATGTTCTTCGGCGTCGTGACTGCGTACTAAGCCCTCCCTGGACACATCAAGGAGGTTATACTAAAAATAAATTCGGCAGATCCCACTTACTTGGGAATCGACGTTTTGCGAAGCATGTGGAGGGAAGTTGACCGTGTTGCAATTGCAATTTTTTTTATTGAGCGACACGTCATGAAATGACGCTGTATATATATATATATATATATACATGCATGCATGCGTGTGTGTGTGTGTGTGTGTGTGTGTGTGTGTGTGTGTGTGTGTGTGTGTGTGTGTGTGTGTGTGTGTGTGTGTGTGTGTGTGTGTGTACAAATGTTGCACGCACAGATACAACCAGTTGTTTGCACTTGCGCAACGATGCCAACTGCAACGTGCGTATTAGCAGCACCAGAAGCTGATATATGAAGCGAGGATGCTGGTCCTGGACGCTGCTAAACGAATCAACTTCAGCGCATGGCAACTAACCACAATTTACGTTAACCCATCGTGACGGCTCTATCAAAAAAGAACTAATGCAGTGTTTATAAAATTGGCTAGACAGTGTGCTCAGAATTGGGTGCACGTTAAAGAACCCCAGGTGGTCGAAATTTCTCGAGCCCTCACTACGGCGTCTCTCATAATCATATGGTGGTTTTGGGACGTTAAACCCCACATATCAATCAATCAAATTGGCTAGGCAGCACTGCAACCACTACTGACGTTTCACAAAGATTAGCATCTATTTGAAAAGCAGTTTCTAGACCTGGTGTAGCTCTGTGCTAATATGCTTCATTGCCACGCAGAATGCTTGGGTTCGATTCCAGCTGGGACCCTGACATTTATTCTTTGCATTCGTCGGGTCGACGTGACTAATGCCGGGTATTTCTTGACGATCGTGCGTTAATATTATACCCATGTGTGTTTTTGTCGTTTTAGAGTAGATGCTAAGTTTCGATCACCTGTGGCACATATCCGTTCGTGGGTATGTGCCACTGTCTGGCGGGAAGTGTTTGACGACGTACGCGACGGGATTGTGACATTATTGATATCTTGACCAGCGCGTCATATTCGTCAAACCATCTCACCCTCCCATGCTAATTTTGGTTCACGCGAAGTTAATGGGGTGACCACGAGAGCACCCAAACGTAAGCGGCTAGATAGATAGATACGCGCAAAGCTACCGAAGTTCACTAAGAAATGCTTCGCATTTAAAAAAATGGGGGCTCTAATGGTGTTAGAGAACCCCTTTAATGACATGCAAGAGAGCATGAGCGTTGGATTAAAAATAAAAAAATATCATCTGTGCCAATTTACCCATACACTGTGAATCCTGCATGTTTGAGCCGGACCTTACAAATATTTGCATACTTGGAACGAGCAAAAAACATTGTTTCACGTGAACTTTTGGAGGCGTATTTTATCAGTGTTAAACGAGATGTGTGTATCAGTGACACGCCTGTCGCCATGCGTAAATATGAAGCGCAATATTTTTATGTTCTGCTTTCGTGATGTCTTCAACGTGGGATTGTTCATCCCTGTCCTGCGCAACTGTAATGTGCACATAGATGCAGGCATAAATAGCGCTATTTTAAATAAAGTTAGTTGCAAGCTGGTACCCCGTCCTGTCCACTTTCTTTTCTTTCTTTTTTTTTCGTCTATGCGGGTTGTGTCTTTAACAATTCCTCAGAATGAACCAACTGGCCCAACAGTAAACGTAAACTCATCTCACTCATTATCTCTCTTTCGGAAGTTTATGTGAGTGCTTCTTTAAAGCGTGCAAGCAGTTATGTTACGATGAAAATTTTATCTGCGACTGAAAAGCGCTTTGACCCACGTACTTAGATTTCCGTCTACGTTAAAGAACTCCAGGGGGTCAAAATTTTTGGAGTGCTTCAATACGGCGTCTCTCGTAATCATATTGTACTTTTGAGGCGTTCAACCCCAACAGTTAATATTATATGCAAAGCGCTTTACATGCGCAATTATCAAAACTTCAGAAACGAGCTTTGTAAATAGTTGAGATTGCAAGCTTACCCCGTCGTTTAAAAGACAGACACATACTGCACCGCCATGCAATCATTTCAAGTTATCCTATTTGTCCTCATTCACTGAGTCATGCAAGACGCCGCAAGCATTTTCTTATGACCGAACAGTCGCGGTAGTTTTGTTAATGTGCCGTACCTCGAGATCGGAGCGGTCCGTCGCTGGCGCCGCCATCCACCACGATAACGATGTCAGCCGCCCTCTTGACGGCGGCACCGCTGCTGGGAAAGTGAACTCCACCGACAACGTGCAGCAGCAGGAGAGTGACAAGTTTCATGCAGCAGGTGTCCCTGCACAACCCCGTGCCAACTAGGACCACCATTGCACATGCTTGGCTCGCACAAGTTGAGCTCGGACAGAACGTAGTCGCCGCGTTTTTGGTTACTCCAGAGTGCGTCAGTCACAAGAGCGCGACCGACTATAACCGCCCACATCTCCTGAAGTGAAAGCTACGATGGCCGCCACCTTTGCTTAGAACAACTCCGCTTTCACACACTGCACTAAGGTATGCTGTCAAAAAATCAGTTTGCCTTAATATTGATAGATGACGCTACACTCGATAAATGTATCAAGAACTATCATTTCAATTTTGAAAATGGTGCGTGAGGAGTGCCGCGACTAGTGTCCGTAAAATAGCGATATAAGGTAGCGGGGTCTGATGACATGGTTCAGAGGTGCTTATCTACGATAGCACCGGTGTGATAAGCAGCCGGAATACAGAAATGGATAGAACAAAGAAATGACATGCGCTGATAAGGGTGCACGCGGCATTTGCGCACAGCTCAGGTGAGCGCGCGAAAAAAGAAACGGCTTTCGTGCCGTTTCTTTCTTGGTAGTGCAACCTTCGGTTGCACTACGATTTTTTTTTTGCGTGTTTGGTAGTGCAACTCTCAATTGCACTACCAAACACGCAAAACAAAAAATTAGAGATTGCATTTGTAATGTGGTGCATCGGCTACTGTTATCGTGTTATCGATACTGTTACTGTTATCGGTACTATGTCGGCCAAACAGGTCGTTGTATAAACGAGAGGCTGAAGGAACATCTGTACAATGTGAATCGTTATAAACAAGGATGGCTGTCTGTTGACTGCAGCACGTGTGGCTGCAGGCCAATGTTTTCAGGGTGTACTATTGTGGCAACATGCAGGAATCGCACAACAGGCAAGACCATAGAGGCAGAAAAGATATTTTCATTAAAAGATGCTTGTGTTAGCACCCTTTTCGTCACGCTCACCGATAAAGAAAAGTTGTTTTTTTTTTTTTTTTTGCTTGGCAGTGTGACGTACTTCAAGTATGCATGGCTAGAGAGGGTGCCTGAACACGCTACCCATATACAGTATCGTAAAGGGTTGAAGCATTCGACGACCCAATTGTTGTGCAATTCGCATTATGTAACCCTGGTTGTTCATTTGGTGTTCTAAAGCGCTCTATTACTCATATTAACGTGATTCATTTCCCGACATCAAGTCTGCCTAAGGCCATTTTAAAAATGCCTTTCAAGCAATGGCATGGCTCAAATCGAGGCAGCCGAGGCCTCAATCACCTCGCTTTGACCTATACCATCTCGTCACTTTCCATCGGCGTCGACCTTCTTGGCCACGTCAAAGGACTGCCGAGTCTACCTTCAAGTACCTGATGGTTTGGTACGATCTGTCCGTGGGGTGTCGGTTGTGTGTCACGCGGCAGTGCTCTCTCTGACCTGATTTTACTGTGAGTACCTCTAGGAGGATATAATATGAAAAAATTGCTGGAGTGGAGGGAGCGCTCTTCAAGTGAAGCCAGCGCCGCCATGTTGTGGTGGGCAGAAAGCTCGGCTCGGCTGGCTCGGTGGCGGCCAGCGCTGCCAGTTCACCTGCAGCGACGGTGGATTGCGGTTCGTGCGCCTGTCTTTCCTTGACAAGTGTGTCTCTGCAGTGCATTCGAATGCGTGCGGCTCGATTCAAGCGAGCATGGTACAATCCTGCGTAGCGTATGGGTGCACAAATCGCGCGATTCCTGCTTCCAAGATCACATTTCACAGGTGCGTACTGAAAGCACGTAGTGCTTACGCGGTCTAATACGGCTGACTCGTGTTTTTCATTGGTAGGCTTAAGGAATTAATATTTGGAAATTATTGGCAGGTTTCCAAAAGATGCTGAGACACGGAACCTATGGGAGCGAGCTGTGCGTCGTGAACACTGGAAACCGACAGATAAAGATCGCCTTTGCTCTGCGCACTTTGATCCGGCGTGTTTTGACCGGACCGGACAAACAACAAGGTTGAAAGCGGGAAGTGTGCCGACTTCGTTCGCTGCTTTTCCTGCCCACCTCCAGGCACCGGTAAGCATCGGAACTTCGCAGATATAGTGCTCTGACATCAAGGAGGTTGGAATGACGTAGACATATCTCTTCTGTCGTGTTTTGTCGACGTGACTGCATTGCTGCGTGTTTCCTCGCGAGCTTTTCGTCCCGTTCGCTCGTTTACAATATCGCTCAACACACGATTAGCGCATGATCATTGTCGAATGTTCCCGAACATGCTTTCGTGAATACATATATTCATGTTATGAGCAATAATTGAAGTATATATATCATTCTAAAAGTAGTTAATTTCCACTGTGTGCTTATTTCAGGTGAAAAGGAAGCGGCCAGCACCAAAACCTCGAGGATGCAGTCCTGCTCAGCAGCAAGAGGCCTTAAATACTGAAGATCATGTCACTGTATCACCATCAAAGCAGTGGTACAAGACGAAGTTGCAGGAAACAGAAGACGAAAGATTGCACTTGAAGAAAAAAATTAAAACGTTGCAGCAGAGCAAACGAAGGCTGACACAAAAGAAAATCACCGCTGAAGAAATTATTAGAGGCATCGAAGAACAAAAGCTTTTGTCAGAAGAGGGCTCCAAGATGTTCGATGCAGCATTTTCTCCTGACATACAACAGCTGCTTCACCGGGCACGGACAGAAAGTGGAGGTAAATACCCTCCAGAGCTGCGAACGTTTGCACTAACTTTACATTTCTACTCACCAGCAGCCTACGAATTTGTGCGATCAAAGTTTAATGACGCCCTCCCTTCGCAGCGCACAATCAGAGAATGGTATAGGTCTGTTGATGGCCAACCAGGCTTTACAGGTGAAGCATTTTCTTTCTTGGAGAAGTTGGTTCAAGGTCGCTCTGAAACTCTTTACTGCGCTCTGATTGTCGATGATATGTCGATTAGGAAACATGTTGAACTTGTCGGAGACAGGGTAGTTGGCTACGTTGATTTTGGAGCATCTCTTGATGATGACAGCCTTCCTGAAGCCACAAATGTTTGTGTTTATATTGTTGTTGGCATAAACATGAGGCTGAAAATTCCAGTCGGCTACTTTCTTATCCACTCGCTCACTGGTTCTGAGAGGGCTGAACTAACAAAACAATGCATTGAACGACTGGAATCTGTGAAAGTTCAAGTTGTCAGTCTAACATTTGATGGTGCGTCATCAAATTTCACTATGGCAAAATGCCTTGGTGCAGAACTGAAGCCTGATCCTGTCGAGTTCTCCACATCCTTTAAAAACCCAGTTGATGAGTCAAGGGATGTGCATATCCTGCTTGACCCATGCCACATGATTAAGTTGATTAGAAATTCACTGGCAACAATGTGTTACATCACTGATGTTGATGGAAACCACATAAAATGGGCTTACATAAAGGCACTGGAGGCTTTACAGCGCGAGGAAGGGCTCCGCCTTGGCAATAAGCTAACTAAGGTGCATATGCAGTGGGAGAAGCAAAAGATGAAGGTACGGCTCGCAGTTCAGGCACTCAGCGCTTCAGTCGCAGACGCTCTTGAATTTTGCGAGCAAACGCTGAAGCTGCCACAGTTTAGAGGTGCTAGTGCCACGGCAAAATTTGTGAGGGTATTTGATCATCTCTTCGATTTGCTAAACTCCAGAAATGCGTTTGCAAAATCATACAAAGCCCCCCTTCGAAAGCAAAATGAGCCTTGTTGGAAACCATTTTTTGCCGACGCTCGAGAGTACATATGTGCTTTAAAAGACCCATTCGGTCGACCACTTTTGCAGGGAACAAAGAGGACAGGATTTGTGGGTTTTCTTGTGTGTATACAGAGCACAGAAAGTATCTTCAAGGAACTCGTTCATGAAGGTCAACTTAACTATCTGCTCACGCACAAGATGAGTCAAGATCACGCAGAAACTTTCTTTGGCTGTGTGCGAGGACGTGGGGGGTTCAACAACAACCCTACAGCTGCCCAATTCATGGCAGCTTACAAGCGTCTATTGGTCCAGACAGAAGTGAGATCGTCCACCTCAGGCAACTGTTCGCAAGATATTGTTTCTATTCTGGGTGCATCTGCCTCTGCCACTACATTTTGTGCAACCACTGAGGTCACATCGCGAAGGTGTGCCATCCTACAACCAGAGGACCACGATTACACAGACCGAATTGACTATCCAGAGAGCCTCTCCACATTCGTTTGCTCTGTCGTGCCTTACATTGCAGGCTTTGTCGCTCGCAAAATCGCTACTACAAACACCTGTGAGTTGTGCATAGAAGCTCTTCATGGAGCGGATACATCTCTATTGGTGAGACAAAAAAATCGAGGTGGACTCTTTTACCCTTCCGAAGACGTTGTGTCACTGTGCGAAACAGCGGAAAAGGGGCTGCGTCGACTGCAGGCTTCCACTCAATGCCTTAAGAACATACATGCCAATACCAAACAACTAGTCCTGGAGATTTTGAGTCAATCACTGGAAAAGAGGTGGTTTTCACAATTGGAACAACATCTTTTTGACGTCGACGTGTTGGACAACCATATTTACAACTTGAGCAAGCAAGTATTGGAGCTGTACATCAAGATCAGGCTGCACCACATGACAAAGGAACGAAGCCGGGAACTCGTGAAAGACAAAGTTAGGTCTTTGCTTTCAAGACTCGTCATTTTTAGGAATCAGTGAAACAACTTTGCCATAACGTTCATGTTGGCTAAAGGCTGAGAAAGCTGTACAAATAAAATTTTAACACATGAAAAACGAACCGTTCTGTAGTCTCTTTAAATACTGCCAGTGTATCGGCGACTATGTGAGCACGTTTTTACTTCTCTAGCAGCAATCATTTGCGAAAAAAAAACGGCCGCGGAAGTGCACTATATGCTACGCGGCCGCCTTCCTGCCCACCACAAGATGGCCGCCGCCGGCTTCACTGTGCTCTATGGGTAAGTATAGGCGGCTTCCACTCCAGCAATTTTTTTATATATATCCTCCTAGGAGTACCTAATGTCTCTTTCCTCTCCTGGCCAGAGGACTTCCCTCTGGACGGCCTCTCTTCTCACTAACAACAGGCTCATAGAGGCCTTTTCACGCAGTGGTATCCACAGTGTTCCTGTTGCCCAGTACCGACCAATGGGGGGACTAATCCGTGTCAAAAATCCAAAGGTTACTCAGGAGGAACTCAGGAGAGCGACCCCACTCAACCAGAACATTACCTATGTCCGACAGTGTGGCAGGGGCGGCATTCTGTGCTG